CGCCTCCGAACCGCTTATCTCGTCCGTTGCCACCAACGCGCGCTGGCCGTGTGCATATATCGGGCTCAGCCGGTCGGCCGTCGTCGCTGTTTACTCAGTCGTTATCCCTGTCGCCAGTACCAACGTGTCGTTACTGCCGCACCGTTTGAACATCGTGGTGGCTCCTGAACCGCGTCCATCGCTTCAGCTTCGAGTCGTCGTTTGGCACTTTGTGTCACTGGTCCTGTCGACGGCCATCGCACTGCAGGAGCTCCGCTTCGCACTTGCCGACACAGTTGGATGTTGTGGCGCGCCTCCGTAGCAACCAATCATCATCCAACACTGGTCGTCCCCGTCTCGCTGCTATCCGGAGCTTCTCCGTCCTCCTGTGTTGTCGTCTGCCCCTCCGGATAGTCACCTTCGATCCTGCCGTCCTTCGTCGTCGTTGCGGACGTCTCGGTAAATGGTCCAACTGCATTCTGTCGTGCTGCACCACGTCCTCGTTGGTCTGTCCGTCCCGTTGCCGACATGGCTGCCGCTGGTGCCCTAGAGAGAGTGTCAGCGACCGCACCAGGCCTGAACTCAATCACGAACTCGTATTTGTACAGGGTTAGCGGCCACCGATGGAGCCGTCCTGTCAGGTTTGGCTGTGTCATGAGTCATTTAAGCGCCGAATGGTCCGATAGTGACGGTCCGCCCATATAGGAGCGGTCTGACCAACTCGCCGCCACAACCAAATATTCCAACTCCGCAATAGGGTATCCCTTTCCGCGTCGTTGTTCAATTTGCTGGCGTAAGCCACGGGCTGCCATCCACGGCGCACGTCTTGCATCAGGCATACTCCAAGTCCAATCTTACTTGCTCGGTTATCAACGCAGAACCGAACTTCTCCGACTTTCATCCGGACCAACACGACCGGGAAGCCCCAAGCATCATTGCTCTCCTCGATGAAGTCAGCTCGCAGCGTCTGAGCCACGTTCGCGACGATCGCGTCTTTCGTCTCAGCTTGTTGCCATCTCTTCAGCATTATTAGTGCTTCTTTGCCAATGCCGATATGATGCTGCACATCAAGCGTCATCAACGGGGGACAATCTGCTGCATTGACCAACACCCCCTGTTTGCCCTCAACAGTTTCAACACCACCTCCTTCACGTTTGACTCGTCGTTATCGATGTGCACTTCGTTCTAGTTATGGAGCGGGGTATCAACATCACCCAGCTCAGTCAACCACTCTTCTAGCTTATCGTGGATCATGACGCCGTTAATGACCAGCACCTCCATGACCTTTTCAATGGTTATCCAGGTGACCAGTTCCTTTTTCGCAGACAACTTCACTCGTCCACCCTGTACGCTGATGGCCGGTACCAGGGCCTTACCGTCCCTTACTGTGGTCACGGTAATGGCCAACATCACCGCACCGCAGCGTTGCGTTGACACAAACATTCCTTCTTCGTCGTCGTTGGGTGCGGCAACCACCACTTACACTAGTGTGACCGCACTACGCACGAGCCGAGTACGACGGGTCAGTCTCACGCCGCCACCTTCGGCCCGCCCCCTCCCTCCGTCCTGAAGGGAATCACCACCAGCACGATGTGGCAACGTAACGGACCTCGTTGCGTTCGAAGTCCAGGTTTGCCATGCGTCGACTCATCAAGTCGACTCCTAATATAAACTCCGTCAACGATGCACGCTTGCACATCGACCAGCTGCCCGAACGCGTTGCGCATGTGGAAGGCC